TAGGGGATGAAAACTCACAAACTAAGAGGTTGCAATAATTCTAACGGAAGTCCGGTCATCAAAATCGTATGAGATAGCATCCAGCACAATATTGGAGGTGGTGAAAACTCTTGTTTATTCTCTCTTTTTTTTTCAACCAAGACTTTATTGGCATTGGATGTGTCTTCATCCCTTGTATTACTATTGATAGCCATACTTTGCAAAAAAAATAATATATGTTTTTGCTTTTAGTATTGACAATACTTGTATTGTTGATCTTGGGATCAACACCATTACTAGAGGAACTTGGCAAGCTTCCACCTCTAGATTTATGGAATTACAAGCAAAGCTAACATATGAATGTACCATGATGTCACCAAGTGTAGTGATGTTGGATAATATAAGCGATATTTTTTATTTGATTGGACCTTCAAGAAAGGTTTATCAACCTTAACAAGTGTTGCTAGATTATGATGCACAACCATTTATGTTGGATAACGATGCACTACTTGGTCTTGGTTTGAGATAGAACAATATGGAGAGATGTTCATTCATATCTTTTGGAGGTTCTAGTAATGCACCACCTTTATACACCACCCAGATGGAGTTGACTTTGCAAGTTCAACCATATCATATCACGGATAGATTTAGAACGCAAACATATGTTGTTGTTACACTTGCAGAATCCTATGATGTATTGGTGGATGCGATAGTGTTATATACTATGGGGTTAAGCATTGATTATTGGGAGGAAATAACATTTTATCGGCCAAATGAAAAATTTGATGAGGGCCGAGTGAGTTGATTACGAGTGCTATTCATTAATTATTCTAGCCATTTACCAAGTGGATGTTTGGCATATGTTGCAACCTTTAGTGCTTGTGTTATTTGGCCTGATGATATGTTGGAGGAAAACATGGTTGCAAATGACAATCCATGTCTAGAGGATGTTGTTACCATTCCAAGTCTTAGTGGAGTAATGCCATCTATGTTGGATGAGTCACTATATACTTCATGTATAGAGCTACAACAATTCGCAATTCAACTTATACATCATGCTTGGAGTGAGTCTTTTGCTTCAAGATGGAGAAGACAAAAGAAATTATTCCCACTTCCGCCATGTTGTTACCTTTGGATAAACGGCAATTGATTGGCAGTATTCAGAAGAGAGCATATGTGTGCTAGATCTGTTTGGAGGTATCGGCACAGGTATAGCTATTGTTTTACATTCTAGCATTCAAGTATATCGATACTAGTATGTCGAGCGAGATGAGATTGTGAGTTGTGTTTCATTACACCATGTGGCATAGTTGGTACGATGGTACCTAGATCTTTGACCATTGTTGGTAGTTCAAGGATATCAACATGACTTTCTGTCAAATATTTCATTGCTGGGGGTGCACGATCTTGCTCGACATGACACCATTTATTTGGTTATTTTGGGATGGCCATGTCATGGATATACATGAGTTGTTCATGATCATGGGTTACAAGAATCATGTTCTACATGTTTTGGGAGATATTACTTGTGTTATGATCTCTCCAGACAGCCATGACATTTGAGAACTTGGCTATTGCTCAACATACAGATACTTTGCGCCATGTTACCATTCAAAAGGTGAATATAAATCTTCAATTCATAGATTTTATGATGGTGATTATATTTACTTCCAATAAAGTACACCGATCACATTAGATGTTATTGATGGTCGCATGATTCTACAAATACATGGAGTTTTACATTCTAGAGTTTTGATTTTAGAGAATCATGATGGTGTGATTTGGAAGGATCATGTGCGTAATTGTGTATCATGTCATCCCCAAACATTGATGGTACCATAGATCCAAGCATGACAGTTGTGTTGATATGCTTCAAATATATGTTATGTGGATTAGCAGCTGGTGGAGTTGCCAGTATGTTGATTTTGTGATTCTTGTTGGACATGTTTTGTTTGACACTTACTCTCAATGAGGTGCCGAGTGGGGGATGGAGACGACCTAGATGCGGTTAACAAACAAGCTGGTATGACCGTTACATGATATGGATTGCAAATATGTTACTAACAATAGGGCATTATAGCACCCCGCCTCTTAATCTTAGCCCCATGAAGGGCGTATCATGTTAATGGACTAGATGGCTATGTGGTGTTAAAGCGACCTAACTTCAGGTTAAGGGCTTTATTGTGGTAAACTTGTGTTGATATATAACGATCTATGTCTTGTGATGTTTGACGTGATAGAGATATGTATGTGCACATCAGAGAAGCAAAGGCTGGAAATAATTCTTTGCTTTCACCAATAAGTACATAGGTTTATAACAAACTTTTTTTAAGTTTGTAAGTTGTGTGATCATGTATCTTATTGTTAGGGTCATGCAATTGTGAACGACCCTTTTGGAGTAAAAACAATAGCACTATGGTAATTTTGGAATGAATTGGCATAACCAAAACATAGGGATGGTTGGGTATCATAGGCCTATTTAATGAGATAGAAAGGTACCAGCATGAAAAAATGAGGCAATTATTTTTTCGGGTTCATATAGGAAGCCTTGAGTGGATACCATGAGTCTAATGACCAGATGCAACCTATTGTAGGAGGAAAAAAGATCGAATTTTGCTAAACATTTTACATAGTACCAATTTTGTCCCATGTTTCAAAAAGGGGGTCAAGATTATAATTTCCTCGCCATATGGCATAGTTGTGTATCACTACATATCTAAATCACAAAACAAGCCATTACTTTTGGAACTAAAGGAAAATTATTTCAATCTTGATGGCACTAATAGAGTCTTATCATAAATTTTATTTAGGTTTAGATTAAATGTAAAAAATCTGAAAACGGTGGCAATCAAGATAAGCCTAAACATTTCTTTTAGTCCAACACTTTAGAATCAATTTGAATGTATGTCTTAGATATGTGATGCATCATAAAATATAGCTCCTCACTCATTATTATGTTTGCAATATTCAAGGTGTCATGCATGAGAAGCACCACCTCAAAAACTTTCTAACAAAATCTCAAATGCAACATTTTGAGCTTGAAAAAAATTGAAGATCAACCAAACGTGTCAAAACTTTGAATTTGTCATTGATTTTTGATTGTATAATTGATGTCAACCTAAACTTTTATTACAATTTATGGGCATTTTTATTGCGCTTAATTTCATTGAAATCTCCACTTTGAGTACTTTCAAACAAGATCTTGATTGTTAAAAACACACACACATTGAATACTCTTGTTGATGACTTAGATGTGAAAACGGATTTCACTTCTTAGCCAATTTCCAAACTTGGGCCGCATTTCTTATTCCTGTCACTTGACTAACCATCTACCTCAAGTTTCTAAACCTCGTTGTCCATTCGGAGGGCAGAGGATAGCTACCCATGATGCCATTAGGGATGTGGTGTTTGCTATGGCGCGGGAGGGTGGATACCTCACATGGAGAGAGCGTTGGTATGCCTTGCAGTCGACTAGGGTTAGAGCGGACTGCATTTGGTTCGGGAGGACCAAGTCACTTTGTGGGGTCGATGTGGTGGTTACCGATCCTACTAGAGACATAGTTTCAGAGGGGGTGATCACCCATCCTCCAGGATGGGCGGCGAGTGGAGCGGCGGCGATAAGGTCTCAAGTATAGAGGTATGCGGAGAGGTCACCTCTTTGTTCCTCTTGCTTTGGAGTTATATGGAGCTATGGACACCGACTTCGACATGTTTGTGAGGGAGTGCGCGAGAGCCTACCATACTAGGCGACATGGGGTATCACTCTCTTTTAGCTTCTTGTATAGCCTATTTTAGGCAACGTGTTTCCATTGCTCTCTGAGAGCACTAGGCGGGTGCAATCCATAGGAGAGCAATCACGTTAGGTGATGCTTCTTCGGATGCTCCCATTTGTTTGTAGACCTTTTGACTTGGATAGTTCAGATATCCTAGGTGCTGTAGGACATATTTCCCAGTGTGATACTATTGGGGCCTAGCCCCATGTTACCGGTTTGGTTCCATCCTTGTACGATTTGATGGGGTCTTCCCATCCTTTTTGTTATTATATTTCGTCTTTCCCTTTGTCAGTTTCTAAAGTAATTTGGTGTTGTCCATATGTCTTTTTCGTAACCACATATGAGGGTTGCCTCGTCTAATGAATTCCACTAGATTGATTAATCTCTAGTTCTGAAAAAGATCAGATCCTTTTTGTGGCTTAAATCACACCTGCCCTCTAGACAATCAATCACATTAGACTCGCGAAGTGAAGGAGCACTACTTCATCATCGTTCACATTTTTTGTTTAAAAGATCTGTTACTTTTTTTAGATCTTTACACCTGGATCATCTCTCTTTCTGTCAACCGGATCAAACGAACTCAAAACCCATCTGTCGATCCCACTACTCGACCTAAGGACAGAGAAACGAACAATATGATACATTTATGAATGCAGTCATCCGGATATTGGTCACTAATGGGACTCAATTTCGGCATGTTGGCCTGTAGATTTGAAAATAGTGCATGTAAGATCGTTTATCTTTCAAGATTTCAAAGCGGTTATGAATCTCGTCCCTAGTCGGAGGTACCCGGCTCAAAAATAATTCAAAAAAATCTCTTTGCTTGTCTAACATACTAGATACAATGTTTGTATGTAATCTACGTAGATCACAAAATAAAGAGGGTCTTGACAGGTTAACAATCTTGAAAGATTGTTTATAAGATTATCAATATTTTTAAAAATCCTGGATTGAAACCCTCAATATTGAATAATATATACCGTTATGGTCCTGTAACGACATACCGTAACAAAAACAAAAATGAGGGAGTCAACGTCTCATGCCATATCATACGGAGACTAAAATCAAAGGTAAAATAAAAGACCCAACATCAGGTACCTTAATATTTTGATTTTACAGAAACTCATAAAGAAGAAGAAGAAACTTATACGTATTCAGAAAGCACTGTTGACATGAGGGCATACAAAACTTAGTTTTAAACTTGTCAAAGTGAGTGGAAGATACTGAAACTATAATTTACATTGTCTTTATCTATGCCTGTGTGGCCTAATGGATAAGGCGCTCGCCTCCGGAGCGTGAGATTGTGGGTTCTGGACCCATCGTGGTCGATTGATCAACAGTGTACTTGTATATTCTTATTACACTAATCCGGCCCAGCAGGGCATTTTGAACCAACCCTTAATACACTAATCCGGTTCACTAGTACGTTTTGGACCAACTTTTCTAAAGAGCGCTATGTTAAACCCCTCATGCACTTTTACAATTTTAGCTCCAAATTATTTTTTGTTTTTAATCTTTTATATGTAACTAATTAATTATTTTTAAATATTAATTATGATTTAGAATAATTTTATGGATTAATATAATTTTTTATTCAAAAATATAATAATTTATTCGTATATAATTTAATTAATTTAAATAATTTTTTATCAATTTTTTAAATATGTGATTAAATTAAAAAATATATATTTATATAATTCAAGACTAAAAATGTAATTGGTATCTTTTATCAGTAGTTTCATCAAATTTTTAATTATAGTATTCAATTATTTTTAAAATTAAAATTAAAATTTTATTTAATTTATAAATAATTTAGAAAAAAAATCAAAATATACTATTAAATAATTTTGTTTAAAAATGTTGATAATCTTTTTTGAATTTTTTGACTTTAAATATTTTAATTTTAACAATTTTAAATAAAATATTCAAAATTTGATTCAATTAAAATGTGATTAATTTAATTTGTAAATTTAAAATAAATTTTTTGATATATAAATAATTATAAATACATAATAAATAATTACAAAATAATTATATATTTTTCAATTTATTGAAAATAATAAATGAATATTTCCATAAATCTTGAATTCTTTTAGTTTATAAGCTTTTTTACTTTAAGAAACCATGAACTTTTGAAAAATATGATAGAATAAAAATCTTCATTTAAAATAAGATTTATACAAAATATAAATTTTTTACAAAAAATCTGATGAATGATCAATATAAATTTAAACAATTGTAGCTTTCATCATTAAAGTATGTTTAAGTTTAGGATCTGTTGAGAGCAACACATCTTCATAAAGCTAATCTTTCTTGCATATCTTATTCACAAAGAAGATGTGGAATTGTAGACTCATGAAAAATACCCGTAATGAGTATGATGCATAAAATTAATCACATGATTTGAAATGATTCATGAGTTTTAGCAGGGGATATCAAAATGCAACCACAGGTCTGACAGAAGTACTAGTAAACATCAACGACAGGTTGAAGTTGAGAATTCCTGCATTCTTTAACATTTGTACTATTACATTTATTTATATTTCTGGAAACCGATGATTTGCAGACTCCAAGGACTAAATTCACTTGTGCTATTAATAAATGCACAATGTGCTACATGAATTCTCCTCAATTGGAAAAAAAAAACTTGTTTTATCAACTCTTGTCGTTGAATTTTGAGTGACGAGCTTTCTGTGCTTCCCCTTCGAAAATGTAGTAAAACAGGAGCAACTCTTTGCTGACTTACATGACGAATTGCATGGTATTTTCTCTTAATCGGGAATCTGGCCGGTGACATATATTTTGATTTGAATTTTTTGGCAGTTACAGCGGTGAGATGTAGATCACCGTTGTCAGAAAAGTGTTAGGAATCAATGAGATAACACATGTTACAGTATTTGCTCGTCTTCATCGTGCTAAACACATGACTTTGAAAATGTCCACATCATAATCAATCAAACTTGGTTTCCCAAGACTGCTGGGTACAGTACTTACAGTATGCAGACATACTGTAGATTGCAAAAGTGCTCTCCAAAGACATTATTAATAGTTCTAGTGACCAAAACCCTACACCCTAAAACGTGAGAGGTCAATAACGGAGTACATATTTAGTCATGGAGCTTTCTTTCTTTTATATACTTTCTTTTCTCCTTTAAAGTTTCCCATTCAGAACTAGCAGTCGAGGTGACCAATGCGTGAATTTTGTTACTCAAAATCAGTATGACTGAGGATCCTCCATGGTGGACCTTCACTCGACATCTGGTAACTATTCATACCCATCCCAAACCCTGAGCTGAGTTTCTCGGAGAAATAGTAATGTCTGGTAAGATTTCCATCTCCTACAGTACTTTCAAGAATAGGATAAGATGAGGAACAAAGATCGGACCTGTTACAGCTCGTGCCTGGTTGTGACTTATGCCGAATGTACAGACATGATTTTGCCATTATAATACCGATAATGGTATATGCCTTTCAGCTCCAGATCTTGAACTTTCCTACGCTTGCATTGGGATGGGGTTAAGCTAAAAATACAACAGTTTATTAAGAACATAAATACAGTAGAACAATCAGCTCGAGATATGAACAGTTCTTTGTTGGAATTTTCAAGGGCTGATGGAATACAAAAGGTTGGTCAAAATGTCAAGTGTGGGTGGATCCTGTAGTGTTGTAGGAGATAATTACGCACGCGATTCGGTACATGTGAGAAAAAAATACTTGCTCAAACAATTGCACCGAATGAACACTAATTAATAAAACAGTAAGGGAGGGTCAAGTTTACTGACAATGATAAAACATTTCTACATTAGTTGTAAGGATAACGGAGAGGTCGCCGCGTCGAGAGATTGGTAAAAGTAATATACCTGGACTGCATTACTAAGGAGAATACTACATTGTCACTAAAACTCTGAGAAGGACGTTTCAGAAAATTCTTGAGGAGGCTCATGATTGAAGTGACTTCTTCACCGTACAAGAGCACCACCTAAATCCTTTGAAATCATAGTTCCTGTAAAAAGTCGTTCTTATATTCAGATGGAAACTCCGCAACGTGCTTAACCTTTCTATCTCTGACCGGTGGTCAGAAACGATATCCGTCGGAACAACTGCCAACTCATGCTTGCAATAATTTGACGATGATTACATCGACGGTTGGATGGTCACATGTGAATCTACTCACTGGGGACAAATCACCAACTCAGCTTCACATTATTTCCCTAAAGAGAAGATCGACGGTAAATGAACCAGCCGTCTGTGCCGTTCCGTGGTACGATGTGCCAACTCAGGTTACAAGAGTAAAGGATATCGATGGCGGGAACGCTACAGGTAGGATCGACGGACGGAGGAGGAGAAACCACAGCCTCCACCGGTTCCGGACCGACGGACAAACGAAGAGTCCGTATGGCGAGGACGGAGGAGAGTGGGAACTCGGAAGTCGGGACAGCAAGGGCGACGAAAGGAAGAAAGAGAGAGAGAGATAGAGGGAGAGGCGAGGCGAGGCCCGAGAGGGAGGTCTTTCTGGGAGCACGACATTCGCTGACAAGAGTTTAGCATTTCTTTGCAATTTCTTTTGCATTTGTTTCGTTATTTCTGCCCGTCCCGTCTCCTCCCTTCACCTCACCTGCCGAGGATGCAGGTGGTCGTTTGTACAGCAGCGGGTTGATTTGATTTGGCGCGGCGGCGACGGAGACCCAGCACGGTTCGCTCTGGAACCGAGTTAGAAACGCTGGGGAAGTGTGTTTGTTTGCGGGATGAAATTTTCTTGGAAAGCGGCGAGGTAGCTGAAGCGGACGGAACAGGGAGGCAGGGAGAGAGTGGGGAGGTGGTAGGAGGGAGGGAGGCAGGACGAGAAAGAGGTGGAGAGGTGCAGGACGTACGCTCATGAGAGCAAGCAGGAGACTACCGTAGGTGCCGGAGCTTGGCTGCTGCTGCTGCTGCGGATGCTCTTTCAGCGCCTGGTGGCAAGCCTTCTTTAGCACCGCTTCCATCTGCGATTGCGGAGCTTCGCTCGGTCTGGAGACTGAGGTTTTACTCGGGCGCTTTTAATCTCCCGAGTTCTGGTCGAGGACAAGTACGAGCTGTTAGTTGCTCACCAGCGCGAGTCTCTGAAGAGGAGGAAGGAGGAACGGGCGATACACTCTTCGCAGGTTGTGCTATGGGCAGAGAAAGCTAGCCGTCCGAACTCATTTTTGGTTGTGGATTTTATGAACTTTGGACAAATTTCTATTGAAAGGATGAGTCAGACGGTGGCTCGCTTTAGCTAGAGAGACCATCTACTTGAACCTTTTCTGGGTTCCGTATGCCGTTCCTCGGTGAAGTCCAAGCTATATGTTTCCATCTTCCGGGCTTCTCTTTGTAACGAAAATTTCTCTGAGTACTGTATGTCCTTCAAACTTCAGCGTTTTTTCTTCTTCCTGTATGACCAGCTTCGACTTGTTCTCCTGACTCACACCTAGTTACCATTTTTCCCCGCAATCAGTCTTTTTTGCCTCTCTGTATGTACTTTAAAAGCGAAGTGGCCAGTTGTTGGCGCTCGTGTACAATTTCTTCTGTCTGAAAGAGCATCCGCAGCTGTCTGAAAGACTTATGCGTTTTCTCGTGGTCAAGGGACCCGTGCGAATAATTTTTACCAATTTGGATCCTCTCAAGCGCGGATGTGTAATCCCGGGTTTCAGAGAGACTAGTATTGCCGGCGTTGCATACTGGAAGCTTCTCCCCGGTAGTAGGGAAATTTTGTTTGATCGCAGGCCTACATTTCAATGATTATTTTTCACCTGCTCAGGTCTTCATGTGGAGCGCCGTATTATGTTACAAATTAAGCCCCCGAAAATTGCCTATGTACTTCGCTTGTGGCGTTTTCTTAATGGCTGTTAAGAAGGTGCCCAGTACATCTTGTTATGCCTTTTCATCCCGTGCCTCCGGTTGTCTCCATCGTGTAGAGAGTATCTGTTTTTCAATAGCTTTCAGAGCTGGTTGTCCAGCGTATATATGTGATAACGTACCGGTCGATCGTTTGTGGCCATTGTTCAAGATCTCTTTCTCGTTCTTTATTTATGGCGCGGAAAATCTAGAATCTCCAGAAATTTGCAGTTCTTCTTACATCAGCACCTTCTATATACCTTTCGAAAGGTAATAATTGCATTCTCTAAAGCCGGTCGGTACTTGCCTGCAGGGTGAAAGGTTGCGATGCAGGAAGGGTCGAGAGAGCTCGGTGGAAGTCCTGATCCCACTGGTTTCGACTCTGAGGATGACGGCGATGATGTTCCGACCGATGGTCCCATTGTTCTCTCCTCACATCGTAAGTTATATTTGTTCGTCGTAATGTTTTATTTTTTG